ACTGGTGTTAACTGGTGATTTCACAGGCTGCTGATCATTCCCACACAGGGAGCACTGGTCTGTACTGGTCTGTACTGGTCTGTACTGGTCCCGCCATGGCGCTGCCATCCGCCGGTCTCCTGCCCGCCCTTTTACTGGTGGCCGATGCCCTGGCACTGGTGTTACTGGTGCCACTGGTACCGGTGCTGGCTCCGCTGGGCGTGGCGGGCGTGTGGCTCGAAGCCGCCCTGCGCTTGCCCGTCCTGGCCGTGGCCACCTGGCTGCTCGCCTCTCGCCGTCCCCCGGGAGCCACCGCGGCCACCGTCACTGTCGCCGCCACCCCGGCAGCCTTCGGAACCTTCCGGTACCTCCTGGGTCCTCCCGAGGCTGGCCCGTGGCTCTTGGCCATCGCCTCGCCCGCCTGGCTCGGGCTCGCCCACGCAGCTGCCGCACTAGCCCAGCTTGCCTGGGCAGCGCCCCCGGTCCCCGATGATGTCACCGGGACCCCCGGCGATGTCCCCAAGGCTCCCGGCGCCGTCCGGCGCGCTCTGGCACTCACCTGGAAGGAGCGGAACGTCCTTGGAGGTGCCGTCTTCTGCCTCGTGCTGGCGGCCATTGGTGGGTGACATGCGGTGACAACCCCAAATTTGGGTTCTGCAGCCCCGAATTGGGAACCCCCAAATTTGGACGCCCCGCCAAAATGGGATGCTGGCCCTTAAAAATGGAGCCCTGAGCTCCTAAATAGGCGGTGACCACCCTAAAGTGGAGTGGTGACCACCCTAAATGGGGAGTTGGCCCCTTTGGTTGGGTGTTGACCAAAATTGGGCGCTGAGCCTCCAAACTGGGTTTTGACCCTGCCAGAATCGGATGCTGACCCCCCCCCAAAATTTCGTGCTGACCCTCAAATTTAGGGTCTGATGCCCAAAAAAGGATCACGGCCCCCAAGACATTGGGTCCCTATTTCACATGTTTAGGTGCTGAACCCCCCAAAAATTGGTACTGACCCCCTAAATTGCCTGTCAAACCCCTCAATTTGTCACTAAACTCCCCCAAAATTGGGTCCTGACCCCTCTAAATTGTCTCCTGCCTACCCAAACTTAGACCCCCGCTGCCCGGATAGGGTCCTGCCCCTCACGAATCGGGGTCGCCCGTGTGTGAGTGGCGACAGCCGTGGTGACACGGTCTCGGTGGCACTCAGGGCAGACATCGGGACCCTACGCCGTTGGGAAGGCGCTCGATGCCATCGGCAGCGGGGATGGACTCACCACCGGAGCTCTGGGGCTGGTGGCGGCTGCTGGAGCCACCAGGTGGGTGTCACAGCGTTGCCAGGGCCTGTCCTCACGTGCCCAGCGTCCCTGATGTCCCCGTGTCCCCTCAGCGTGCTGTTTTCTGGGTGCCGTGGCTGCCTCTTCATGCTGCTGCAAGCACGTCTCAGACAGACCCTGCGCCTCCGGCTCTTTTCCCACCTGGTGCACCAAGACTTGGATTTCTTCCAGGGAACGCCAGCAGGTAATGGGGCAGGGCCCAGCCCACCTGATCCATCCCATCCCATTATCCCATTATCCCATCCCATCCTCCTGGCTTCATTCTCCCCCAGTGTTCCATCCTGTCCCAATCCCGCTTTCCTCTTCTATCCACTCTCCCATCCCCATTATCCCCATTATTTTCATTCCCGTGTCTCCATCCCATTGCATGTGCCCAGCTTCATCCCACCATCCTCATCATCCCATCCCATCCCACCATCCCATCTCCACTGTCCCATCCCATTCCACTCTGACCATCTCCATTCCCACCATCCTATCCCACCATCTCCATTCCCACCATCTCATCTCCAATGTCCCATCCCATTCCAGCCTGACCATCTCCATACCCATTCCCATCATTTCCATTCCCACCATCCCATCCCATGATCCCCATTCCCACCATCTCCATTCCCATCTCATTTCCACTGTCCCATCCCATTCCACCCTGACCATCTCCATCTCCATTTCCACCATCTCCATTGTCCCATCTCATTCCAGCCTGACCATCTCCATTCCCACCATGCTATCCCAAGATCTCCATTCCTGTCTCATCTCCACTGTCCCATTCTACCCTGGCCATCTTCATCTCCATTCCCACCATCCCATCCCAAGATCTCCATTCCCACCATCTCCATTCCCATCTCATCTCCACTGTCCCATCCCATTCCACCCTGACCATCTCCATACCCATTCCCACCATCCCATCCCAATATCTCCATTCCCATCTCATCTCCATTGTCCCATTCCACCCATACCCATTCCCACCATTTCCACCCCCACCATCCCATCTCCACTGTCCCATCCCATTCCACCCTGACCATCTCCATACCCATTCCCATCATTCCCACCATCTCCATTCCCATCCCATCTCCACTGTCCCATCCCATTCCACCCTGACCATCTGCATCTCCATTCCCACCATCCTATCCCACCATCTCCATTCCCATCTCATCTCCATTCCCACCATCCCCATTCCCACCATCCCATCTCCATTGTCCCATCCCATTCCCACCATCCCATCCCAAGATCTCCATTCCCACCATCTCATCTCCACTGTCCCATCCCATTCCACCCGTCTCCATCTCCATTCCCACCATCCTATCCCACCATCCCCATTACCATCTCATCTCCACTGTCCCATTCCCACCATCTCATCTCCAATGTCCCATCCCTTTCTACCCTGACCATCTCCATACCCATTCCCACCATCCCATCCCAAGATCTCCATTCCCACCATCTCCATTCCCATCTCATCTCCACTGTCCCATTCCACCCATACCAATTCCCATC